TGATGTGATATAAAAGCATTCTTTGTTCCCCAGTAAATACATTTGTTTTATTTAAAACTAAACGACAACCAAGGAGAAAAAGGAACGCTTGGTACCACAAAAAGAGAAGGAGTAGTATTTGGGTGCAGGCTTTTTACTGGCATAGAAAATGATACTGGAAGCACAGATTCTCTACCCGAGGCATGATCAAAAGGTATTTAAAAGGCATGATCAAAATTAAGTAATTAGTTTAGAACATGTATTAAATACACAACAGCTCTGTTCCTTTCTTAAATATCCTGCTCTAAAGAGGCTGTATTTCTCAGTTGTGTACGGCACACTGTTGCTTATATACAATTTTCTTAAGCCTTTTTTTACTTTCATTGAAGCATATTCATTATAACATTCAGTGAATTTATGGCTCCTTCCAGTGGCTTAGTAAAAGGGGTCATAAAAAAGTTAAGTAAACCAGTGTGCTTTTTTCCTCTCCCTTAACTTTGGATTCCTTTTTTATACTACGCTGTCTAGTGCCTAGTCTTTGGAAAGTACCTTGGGCATATTCAGCACACACACAAGTTATCAGCTGCTCCAGGAAAAAAACAAAACAAAACAAAACAAAACGGAATTTCTTACACTGAGGCAACTACACAAAAGACTTGCATATGTCAAAAACACAGAACTAAGTCCCTGTGAATGCTACACCATTAATCAAATCCCCGATCTGGTGTCACTTTTGCTAGTAAAATGATGATATTCTCCTAACCCCCTTCTACTGGCGCGTGCCTGCAACACATGAAGTGTGTCCCTCTGCTTTAATCTGTTTTCAAATAGCCTGCTTTAGGAAATTTTTATATATCCTTTCAAAAAATAAAAAAGGGGAAAAAAAAAAAGAAGCTGCTACTTAAAGCTCCGGGAAGGGTCTACAGTACGGTGCACGCACCAGCTTTTCAAGAGGGAGGGCAGACAGTGAGCAAATTTAGCTGATGTTCAGAAGCTGAACGCACAACTGCCTCTGAGGCTGTAACTGTGGGTGCCGAGGAACGGTGCACAGCCTGCCCAGATACATTTTAAGAAAGTAAATAAACATGAAAGAGGAAGATGCCGTAGTAAGTGAAGCTGAGTGAATCATGCACTTATCAATGCATGCAATTATTGATGCCTTTTCCCTCCCCCATTAAAAAGATACATATATATAAATCTGTCTACAGCCAATACGGATGCTTCATCAAGTGCTTTTATGGCATAGCTAACTTTAAAACAGGTGGTAACCCCCAGCCCCCATTTATTTCTCTGTGTGCTTTCTCTGGAGGCTGCCGAGGGGAGACCAAATTCAACTGACAACTGCAACACAACCCTGGGGAAACCAAACTGCAACAAAAAGAAGGAAATGCGCCAGCAAGGAGGCAGCAAGCCGTTTTGGGGTAGCAAGTCTCTGCATGAAGACTTTTCCACCGGGCCTTGACTTGGGGGAATGGGATGGTGGGAGGCAGAGTGTGAGCTGGATGGGCAGAGGCAACGGGGAGGAGGACAGGGGAATTGTTGCTTCTCTCGGTAAAAGTTAACAGTCGTGGAATGGAAGGAAAGCCACAGTCAGCAATGTCTGAGGTTTTGGGAAGGGAGAAGGGAAGGTTTTCCCCATCACTGGGGAACACTAGCAGCAGCAGCAGCCCGGAGAACTACTTTTCAGCTTACCCGTCTGCCAAACAAGCTGGCTGCAGTCTACATGCTTCCAACTAGCTCAGTTCAAACATTAAACGAAGTAGAGAAATCATCAGATAAATTGCTGGCCCTCTCTACCTAAGAGTGAAGGGGTTTTGTACAGCTGATGACAGCCCTGATCTTTTGTCTGACCTAATTTACTTCTCTTTCAGGTTACAATAAAATTTGCTTTCCTGTCAAGAGATAACCTCCATCCACATATTGTACCCTAAAAATAAGATGCTTGTGCCGTGTTAATAATGCCATAACTTGAATTTGTCAGGTTGGGTAAAATAAACTTCCACTGATCAAAGCTCCCCGTATGTACGCCACAGAATTGTACGTTTAGGCAAGAAAGAGTCCCACGAAAGTCCGTCCACGATGCACAAGCCAGCTGCAGCAGAGAACAGCACAAACACCACAGAGCAACCCGGGAGCTGCTCAGCAGCAACTTCTATATGACAGATGCAATTTTGTGTTTAATTCTCTAGGAAAAAGAAATAAATAAACAATGCTTGTTTTCATTTGCAGGAGCTACAGAATTTTTTGCTGTAAGGACCTGAGGCTCAAAGTACGGTAAACTATTTAATATCAGATCCCCTCGGCAGGGGTATGTGTGGCTTTCTGACAATGCCAAATTATGTCCATGTATGTCTGCTTTATTCCTGTACACACCTTCTCCTAGAACTCCAGCTTCCTCGCTCTCTGTTTCTACATCCACTGGAGTAAACGAACAGACCTCCGTGGGCTTTCCCTCACACACACGCACACAGACACTTGCTCATGTACAGGTATCATTACCCCAATCACAATCTGACAACAACAAATGGTTAATTTAGAGACTGCGTGTTGACAATAAAAAACGCTGTTAAAAACTAATTTTAATTAAAAAACTCCTGTCCGCCCTAGTCAATTAATCAGCGGCGATTTAGCTAAAAATAGATTTGTCTGGCTGGCAGCCCCTCTCAGCGAGCGTTCTATAGATCTTCGCATGAAAATCAATACTACAACTTTAGAGGGAAGCGTTCTGCAGCAGCGCCGGCGGCCTCAGCCGCGGCGGCCGGTTCCCGGGCAGAGCATCCCGGAGCCGGCGGCCGTCGGCGGGTCGGGAGCTCCCCCTAGTCGCCAGCACCCGCCACTGGCAGCCGGGACACCAGGCAGACTGCGAGGCAACTGAAAAAGCCAGCAAAGTTTATTTTGGAAAGTATTTTTCCATCAACAAAGACCACCGAGAGCAAAGCTATCCAGGTAGGAAATGTGGAAGAGAAGCGAACATCTCGTGCGAGGAGTTCTTTAAGCGAAAGGATTTGGTAGCAGCAAGCTCAGCCCTGGGAAGAGCCACCGAAGAGGTGTCAACTGAATTTGGTAACCGGTATCAATAATTTGTATGAGCACACGCTCCTTTAAGTCATAATTATTATCAAATACGCCACAACACAACCCTTTGTTCTGCAGAGAAATGCATTTTGTGCAAGACAAGGGCTCCAACCATTCCTACTAAAGGCAGCCAGGTTGCAAAATCCTAAAGACTTTTATTTCTCGGTATTTAAATAAGGCTGACAAAATATGCTCTGCATCTGCCGACCAGCAAAAAAATGCAAATTATTTCTCACTCACTGTACATCTATTTAAGCCACTGAGCACATCAACCAAAAAGGACGGAACAACCCAGATCCACAGTCCAGTCACCCTGCCCCAGTTTTTACAAAATAATTTAAAAGACCAGGAACTATGAAAATGTGCCATTTTTTATTTTTCTATCCTGTAAACCCGATACAAATATAGTCAAATGAAAGGTAACCTAGAAGTCAACAGCACACAACCCTTTTTTTTCTTTCCTGTCCTATTTAAAGCCAACACATATAATGTCTTCTAAAAGCATTCTAAGCTGCTCTGTGCACAACTATGCGGATATTATGAAAAAGTCAGCCATCTCCAAAATAATAACTTCCTCACCAATTCTCCAGTCATCACTTATATTTTCTTTGCATTAGAGTTGATTACACTGGTGTGGGGTTTTCCTGCAGGAAAAGTGCATTAATTGCACTAAAACTAAGTGCATTTTAAGAGAAGCTCCTTGAAGCAATTTACAAAACTTTGACATGCAAAAAAAAATCATAGGGTTTTTATTATTGTTTTTAATGACTGCATACAAATACAAAGCAATAAAGGAAACTATTACTCTTCTTAGAGAACCTGTTGACCAGGTACTGAAAAGCCTCCTTGGGAAACCTGGTGCTTTACCTGGAATTGTATGATTTTACTGTGCCTTTCCCTCCCAATCTTTGCTGCTGCTCTACAGAAATGTTCTTGCTTTGCCACCGTCTGCAAAACTGCTACCAGTGAGCTTTTCACATGCTCTCGCCTTTCACATTTCCTTCAAATGCAAAATGCAGGGCTAGTTTGAAAACAGATTTCTCAAGTTAAAAAAAGATCTTAAGCTTGAAAATCAGCAATTTGAATCAAACCAAAATAACGTTTCTTTGCACGGAGCAGCTCCACAGCTCAGCCTCCTCTTCTCTACATCATCACCCCTTTTGCTTTGTCCAGCCATCTAAGTGAGCTCGGCTACAAAGTTTGTTCTGCCCAACACCACTGAAGGAAGGTCCAGAGCTACTCTTTCGTCTCCATGTGTTTCCCTATGTTTGGTCCTACACATGCACCCACTGCAAGGCTGCCTGAGTAAGCCTGGTGAGGATGAACAGGCCACTTCATCTGGTAGTCTTAAAGACCACTGCACTAATGAGACGCTTCAGCTCTGGAGCACAGCTACACTGCAGCCTCCCTGCTTTCTGTGTTTGTTTGTTTCTCTTACGCTCAGGATCTAAACATTTCTCTGAACACCAAGTGCATGAAACCCAATAAACTCCAGCTGAGCAGTGTCAGAAAACCCTTCTCCCTCTCTCTCCATCTCTCTCCCAATCTCTTTCCTTGCCTGGCACAGACCTCCAATCCATCCTGAAATGTAACTCTCCTGACAGATGCCAAAAAGGGAGGCTGGGGGGCGGGGGGGGAAGCCCAAGATAAGCATGACATAAAGGCAAGATTTCTTAAAACAGTATCAATTCATCCCAGCTTTGGGGGTTTGTCTTGGGTTGGCTTTATTTTGTTGTAATGTTTCCCATTCCCTTGCCCTCTGCTTTCCAAACTCCCCTTTAGGGAGGACCGTCTCCCTGGCTGCTTTTCCCCAGGAATGACAGATACTTTCCCGAGGAGTGCGGAGATTGCAACTCCCCTACCCTCGCAGCCCAGGCTCAGCGCCTGTGCGCTGCAATGCTACTCTTCCCGGTGCCCCCGTCCCGGCCCCCGCCGCCCCTGGATACCTTCATTTTTTTCTGCCACTGTTCAGTATGCAGCCTGATTGCTCCGCCAGCTTCCTCAGGATGGAGAGAGAGATAAATGCAAGAGGGGAGGGTGGAAAGCTGCGTACCGCTCTGCTCTCCATTCCTCCCCAGCCTCCCCGCTAAACCCATTGTACACGCAGCTCCTCGGTACCTTTTAATGCTCTCCTGCCTCATTATTTACTTTCAAGTAAAGCGATCAGAAAAGGAGATGAAATTGGAAGTACAAACCTACCTGGCTCTCTTCTCCACCCCCACCCTCACCAGCAGCAAAAGCAGGGAGAAAATAAGTGTTCACCCCTTTAAACAAATTCAGACGTGTGCAACAAACCAGATTTTCCAGGCACCCCCTTTCAACACCCCACATCTCCTCACAAGTGAGACAGAAAAGAAGTGGCAGAAATCGCACAGGGGGATTTAGAGGGTTGTGGATGCTTTTTTCTTAAAAAATAATTAAAAAAATTTTAAAGTGGGGGAAATTAAGAAGCCACCAACAAAAAAGGAAACACGATTTCCAAACCGGATGGTTAAAAACAAAAATGCAATTAACGAAGGGGAGGGAATTGAGGAGGGGGGAAAGCCACCTTTTATGGTGATGCAAATCTGGCTCCAAAATAACAATGAATTAAACACACACACCCCAGAAAGAGCTGAATACCAGATGCATCTTCATTTATGTTCCACCAGCTGATGGGCTGGGAGGGGGTGGGGGGGGCGGGGGAGGAGGGGAGGAGGAGGAATGGGTTAAAAAATAAAGGCACACACAAAACAAAACAAAAAAAAGAAAAAAAGAAGAAGAAAAGAAGAAAAAGGAATGACAGAGCGAAAGAAATTGTGATTTCGGGACCCAAACCGTCCCCCCGCAACCCTCCGCTCCGGAAAGGAAAAAATCCCACAGGAGGTGGAAAAATTGTATACACATATATATATCGATTCCCAAGGAAATCTTACAAACGGAAATTTATCACCGGTAACAAAGAAAGAGAAGAGCTCGCAAGCACCAAATGCTCCTGGCAGATGGCTCCTATTCTTGGCTTTCAGGGGAGGGGAGAGAAGCCGGGGGAATATTTTATTTATTTATTTAAATTCTTTAAAATCTCAACATAAATATTCGGATCCGCTGCGGCTCAGGCTCAGCCCCGGGCTGGCTCCGTGCGCGCCGCCGCCCCCCGCAGCAACTTGCGGACTCGGTTGGTGGGGTGGGGGGTGTGCGTCCGGCCGGCCTTCCCGGCGTGGTGCGGGGCCCCATCCCGGCCTCTGCCGCCCCCAGTCCTCGCATTTGCCCCAGGCATTTTTTTACCTCCCCCTCCCCGAAACAGGTCCGATGCTACAGGAGGGAAATGGGGACCTCCTGACCTCCCACCCCCTCCCCGTGCGTCGGTGGCTGGAGAGCAGCGGGGAGCCGTGGGGGCCCCGCGCCCCGGCAGGAGACCCTCTCCTCTTCCCCCGCGGCATAAGCTCTGCGGGAGCGGCGGACCAGAGGAGCGGGGTGCCAGCGCGGGGACCTGCCTCCGACTGTGCCTGCAGGCGCTCGCCCCTCTCCCGGAGCTTTAAGGGTGGGAACGGGGAGGAGGGGGGATGCTGGAGGGGGGGAGGGGGGAGTCTCCTTCCCTCCCCCCGCTCTATCTTTCCCTTCCCTATTTTTTTTTGGGGGGGGGGGCGTGGGGGGGGGGCGGGTATGTGTGTGTTTTCATTTCACAATGGGAGCTTCGGCAAACTACAGCCTCCGCTCCTGCCCCGGCATTGGAGCCGGCGCCGCTGCCGGGCCCGCATTTCGGGCCCCCAGCCCCGTCCTCCGCCTCGGCTCTCCCTGCGGCCCCCGCCACCAACAGACGCTGCCGCCCGCCCCCGGCAGCTCTGCAGCCCTTGTCCTGCCTCTAACCCCAGCCGAGCTGATCCTGCTTCTTCCCCTCTTTGCGGGAGAGCTATCTCCCCCTCCGGCAATGCACCTGGGGCGGGCAGGGCGCAGCCTGCCCAGCTACCTGCCCCGCGGCCCCGACACGGGAGCTCGGCGCCCGCCGTTGCCTGCCCGAGCTGCACCGGCCGGCCACCTCCTTCATGTGCTTTCTGTTAAGTACCCCCCCCGGCCTCTCCGCTGCTTCCCCCCTAGCTGCCCACCTTGATCCGCCTCCCCCTCCCCGGCCCGCCTGTCACGCAGAAGCAACTTTTCCCACCGCTCCGCGCTACCTCAGGAGCAGGGAACGGGGAGCAGGGCCGGGGGCGAGCAGCAGAGCCCCGCGGGGTGGCCCGGCCCAGCCCGGAACAGCGCGCCTCGCCCCGCCGCCCCCTGTTCCCGCTCCCCGGGGGAGCCCCGCGCGACGCTCGCCCCGCCGGCAGCGCCTTCCCCGCTCCACGCCGCCTGCCTGCCCGCCTCACCTCCGCACCGCTGCAAAAACGCACAGCAAACTTCGGGCTTCTCCCCCCCTCCACCCCCAGCCCATCCCCCCTAGCCACACACCCCCCTCCCCTCTTTAATTCCCTTCTCCTCTCCCTCTCTCTGAAGTCATTTACCAGCTTTGGTTTCTCCTGGAGTCTTTCCTCCCCCCCCCCCCCCCTCCAGCTTCCTCCCCGTCCCTAATTTTGCTGCTCGATTTCGGCTCGGTCTGGTTCCAAGTTCAAACTTACGTGTGATAATCTCTCTTTGTGACAAGTGCTGCGGGTTTCCCTGCTTGCGACGGGACATTGCCCTGGCATTTACACTGGCATCGCCTGGAGAGCTGCACTGGTTTGGGGGGATGTAGTGGGGGGGCGATCCTCCTCTGTTTTTTTTTTTCCCTCTTTATTCTTCTTTATCGAATTCTTCTTCTTCTTAAAAAAAAAAAAAAAAAAAAAGAAAAAAGAGAAGAAAAAAAGAAAAAAAAAAGCGCCTCCTTTTTGTCGCTGCTGTGGTGCACTGGATGGGATCCCCTCTCAATTAAAAATCATCATCATCATCAGGTCTTTTTCGCTCTTTTTTTTTTTTTCTCTTTCACACACTGTCTTTTCTCCACTGCTTCTGCCACTTGGACTTCCAGATCTCTTCTTGAACTTAGGAGGATATGCACCGCCAGTGACACTTTTCTCCTCTTTCCAGAGTGCTTGGCAAATTGGCAAGTGCGCTTTTCCACCAGGAGGGTAAAAAAGGAAGGAAAAAATTTTAAAAAGCAAAAATCTGAAAAGCAGAAAAAAAAAAAAGTACTAGAATTGGGATTGCCCACACACACACACACCAAAAAAAAAAAAAAAAAAAAAAAAAAAAAGAAAAAAAAAAGCCAAAAAAATGTTTTTCAGAAATTGACCCTTGCTGGGTAGATATATAGAGAGAATTTTTTTTAAAAGGGGTAGCCAAAACTGTGTCTCCTCTTTCCCAGTTCAAGTGGCACTGCTCTGCCGGGGTGCTTTTGGCTTGCCAATGCTCCTGCACCACTTTGCACTCTTCCCCCCTCGCCTGGCACTGGGACTGGAAGGAAGGAAGCCCCCAGTGCAGCTGGGCTGGTGCTGGCTATTACTATTATATATTGCAATGTGAAGATGGCGGAGTCCTGGTTCTCTGGGAGCGCTCTGTCTCTCTATGGCTGGGGCTGCCTCTGTACAATGGGATAAAATTCAAGTTCAAGTGCGGACGTGACGTTTAATCTGCACTAGAGACAAAAAGACCCAGAGAGTAGGAGCACTGGGGGCGACTAGCGGTGGCTTTTTAACACTGTACCCTGCGAGAGAACAAGAAACGCCACTCGCACACACCGCGCACACCCGCGCACACACACACACACCCGCACACACACACCACGCACCGCACACACACCAAGTCGAGCCCATGCAGGGCTCGGAGCCGCTCCGGGCTTTGTGCAGCTTCGCTTTCGTGGTGCGCGGAGTGCCGGCAGCGGAGGAGAGCGGGTGGACAAGAAGCAGATCCGCATCCTCACGCACGGCCAAACTTCCACGGGCGCGGCGGGGGCTCGGCAGGGCGGGGGGCAGTGGCCGGGGTCGGGGGAGGCAGGTGCGGGCTGGAGGCTGTGGGGCGCTGCCCGCCGGTGCCGCCGCTGCGCTGCTGCTCATTGCGGCGACCGCTCTGCGCCGTCCGGGCTCGGCGCTGGGTCACGCTCCCCGCCGTCCGTGCCCGGGAGCGGCAGCTCCCAGGGGGAACTCGGGCCGCTCTTTCCTCCAGGCGCCGCCGCAGCTCCTCGGCGGCGAGCACGTCCCCCTTGCATTTATTTCGAACAGTTTTCCAACAACACAAATATCTGTGTGGGTTGAGGGAGACGGGTTTTTCTTTTTTTCTCCCTCCTCTCTCCCTACCCGAAGTGTGATGGTAACGGGACACGCGCGCACACCCGATCCGCACACGCGCTCCGACCCTCTTCTCTCCCCCCCCCCCCCCCCCCCCTTAAAATCCTGGCAGAGAGGATTTTTCCCGTGGAGAAACTAAGTCTCGGCCACGAATCGAGAGACGCCGAGTTCCCAGGGACGAAATCTCGGTGCACTTGTCCTCCTATTTCACACGCAGGTAAATGCCCACAACGGCCTGCGCTTCTAACTTGGGAGATTCTTGGAAACCAACTTTTTCTCCTCTACCTCCGCTCTCCCTGCACATCTCCTGCGATAATTTGTTTTGGGTTTTTTTTCTCTCTCTGTCTCCATCTCCCCCTACCCCGCCCCCAGACAAGGAAATTGTTCGGTGCGAACAGCTTTTCAGCACCAGGTCTGGACAGGGCGAGGGAGTTGGAAGGAGGGGGCGGGGGGGGCTTGAAGGCAGATGGAGCAGAAACCCAAGTAACCCAGCTTTCACCCGGAGCAGGCTAAGAGAGCCGCTCTTCAGTCTTGTCATTTACTTTCCACGTTAAGTGAGCATTTTTTGGTATTAAATTGCGTGAGAGCCTCTGGGGGGAAACCAGAATTCATCTCGGTGCCCTTAATCAGCTTTGAGTAGAATTTGGCTAAATAGCATCGCTCTCGCCTCCTCCAGCAAATCTGCCTTTCCCTCCCCACACCCGCCTTCCCGCTCACAGCTCGCTGCCAGACCCCGGCCTCCCGGCACCCGGTTCGGCCGCACGCCGAGGGCAGCCGGCCCCCACCCATCTCCCCGCCCGGGCGGGAGGAGCCGGGCCAGCCTCATAGTGCCCCTCTCCTCAGCCCCCTCAGTTCAACGCTCGCCTGTGTTAGCGCACGGCAAACACGTAAAAGCCATTTAACAGCGCTGAAGCTGTTCAGGTTCTTCGCACTGTGTGTTTTGGGTTGTTTAGCAGGGTCCTGCAAAGAAAAGCGAGAGTGCTAGCAGCGGGAGCTCGCCGCCGCCGGGCAGGGAAGGGCGGGCCCCGCGGCCCCGACGGGTGGCCCCGCGCCGACCCTACCGGGCAGCGTCGTACGAGCCTCTGGGGTCGAGATGCGGCGCCCTGCGGGGGGTGGAGGGAAGGGGTTCCCTTCCGTTGGCCGCCGCACCCGCGGGGAAGGAGGCCCGGGCCGGTCAGGGGGGATGGGGATTACCCTCACTCCTCTCCCTGCTTTGATCATTCCTCCCTCCCAGATTGCGAGGCCGGGAGGCTTCGCCTGGCCGCGCCTGCTGTGCAAAGCGCGGCCCGGCTCGGCGGGGCTGCGGCCCGGTCACGGCAGGGCCGTGGGGTGCAAAGTCCAGTCCGCAGCGGCTGCGGCCGTTCCTCAGCTTCCT